ACCATGTAGGTTGCGTGTGTGTGTGGGGGTGGGTGGGTGGGTGCGTGTGTGGGTGGGTGTGTGGTTTTGTTTAGGTGTGTGTGACTAAAGGACAGTGAGGGCAAGGCTAAAAAGGTATATGGCCTGGAAGTTTAGCAGCTCTCACACTTAAGTTACTTAACTTGTAACTTAACCTTAACTATTTAACAGAGGAATAACACTTAATAACATCTAACCTATGTAACTTAAATGTAACAACTTAGCCAAAGAACAACACTTTAGCAGCCTTTAACTTAGCTTATAACTTACAACTTAACCTTACTGATAGGCCTAATTTACATAGATCTGAGATACTTAAACGTCTAAGAGAGCAGCATTTCTCCCAGATTTGCCATAGCCTATGCATAGTAACATGAACACAGACAGAAAGACAGTGTGAGCAAGGTACCTGTGAAAAATTCCCCTCAAAGCTCAGTGAAATATTCACTTTGGATGCCTTTTCATCTCCTCTGGAGGTGAAGGGCTGAGCCTCAGGGAGTGAGGGTATCAGCCCAGGATTCATAATTGTTTGGTGATCCTCCAAGCACCACAGACGTGAGTTTGCTGGCTCTGAGAGACCCCATTCGGAGGTTGCTGGCCACAACCTACTGTAGTCCAGGACAGCTCAAAAGGTCTGATTCTGGACCACTGTTTATAGAGCGTCAAGAGAGTGGACTTTAGTTGTAACAATGTTTCATCCTTGCCCTAGTTTCAGCCTACACTTTTTTTGATGTTCTGCCATTCATGGAAGAAAAACAATTGCCAATGCTGTTCATAAAAAACTCAAGAGTTCTGTGAGACAGCAGCAGCTCGGGGAAGCAGGGACTGTTTCTCGCAAGCTCAAGAAGAGCTCAGCCCAGGTGGTGTTTTTCAAGGCTGAGGCCTAATGAGCATTTCTCAGATCTCAGTGCAGCTGGAAAAGAGGAGATGCATCACCACAATGGGTCACCATGGATTCCCATGGACAACCACAGATAGCTGTGTACCACTGCAGACCACCAGGACCTGTGCTTGGCGCAGCCCAGTGCAAGAGAAATCTATCATCACAAAATGTGGGATGCCAAAAAAACTCTGTGTGAGACCATCGGACAGGGAATGTGCAATGGAGCTAGAAAAGTCCTAAAGTATAGTACATCTGGGTGTATAGTGAGTATATGGCATGTGTATGGTGAGTATATAGCCAGTGTGTATGGCGTGTATGGTGCGTATATGGTGTGCATATGGTGTG